ACAACACCCTGCCATCCTCACAGTGGCCCTACAAGGTAAAGATTATACCTCATACTTGTCAGATGCAGACTAGGTTCAATAATGGTTCTGAGGGCCTGTATTCCAAGTCCTAAACTTTTTGTTGGATTTAGACTAGGTTCAATAATGGTTCAGAGGGGCTTAAAGAGTCTTAAACTTTTTAACTTTTCCCCCTCAGTGAGCCAAGATTTGAACTCAAGTCTGTCTGGCTAAAAAGTCTACAAAATTTTGCCACCTTGCTCTGTAATTAACCCCCCTGAAGCTCCAAACCTCCACTCACTGCCAGAGAGTTGATTCCGACCCAGAGGGACCCTATAGGACAGAGGTTCTTAGACTGTAAATCTTTATGGGATTAGAAAGCCTCATCTTTTTCCATTGGCATGGTTGGTGGTTTCAAACTGCTCACCTTGTGATTATCAACCCAACTCATAACTCACTCTGCTACCAGGCCTCTGCTAAACTTATTAATGTTCAATTTAACAAAAGAGCAGAGATACATTGTGTGGCAGTCCTGTTGCTGCCACTGCCCAGCTTTCTGACCACAGAGAGGCAACTCTAGTTACAAAAGTAGAAGTCACCCCACTGTGGGTGAAACATGAACAATGTGACCACACATTTTTCTTGGCAGGCTCTTCAGGCACAGGTGCTCAATGGGGAAATGCAATGCTGTCTTAACCGAGTATACTGACAAGGAGAGGGAGGGGACCAGTATGAATAAAGTAAAACATCTTTAAGGTAGAGAATGAGATTATCGCTTAGGGGGGAAAAACAGTCAGAAATTCCCATTTCCCAACATTCTTTGTGAATGGCCCAATTTTCAATAAAAATATCACAATTAATGATGCAGTAAACCCAAACCACATTGGTTCTGAACTTTTACACAGTAGATAAATATCTGTTATTCATAAATATGTTTGAGGAAATAAACGTGGCAACAAACACCATTACTGAGCTCGAAATAGCTTCGTGGTTTTTATTATTCCTTCCGAGTAAGCTTGTATTTTTAACATTGCTACAGACAGAGGTGAGAATAAACATTTTTGAGCCAGTCTTTCGACAGTTCACCTTCTACAAGTCTTTGTGGATGTGACCGTGCACAGCTAAAACAGTATTTTGCCATTTTCCTCTTTTCTTATTTTGGAAAGCAGTTGAAAGCCACTTTCTCTTTCCCCCTCTTTCTCTCAGCTTCTTATGAAGGTTCCCAGTATAAATGCAACAGCTGGCGTTACCTATAAATATACAAACTGAAAGAAAAGAAATATTATGGTTGGCTATTCAGGGGTCTCTTGAAATTAAAACATACCTGGGGTATTCGGGACCATCAGAGAGGATCATGGTCAATCAACAAAGAACCAAGGGAACTGAACTTGCCACAAGTGCTGTTCGAGGGTAAAGACCACTTTGCTGTGACAGGTGACGGGTGTCTCCCATACCTTGTATCTGTCCATGGGGTCCTCCTGCTGCAGCTGGCTCTCCCGCATTGCTTGATATTCTTTCTCATACTTCTTCAGCTTCTTGGTCGGTACCTAGTGGAATGAGAAGAAATGCATACTAGAGAAGGGGTCCACTTAGAGGAACAAAATGCCTGGTTGCTTCCAAATTGTGACTCTGCTCTTCTCAGAGAGGATACTCCATCCAAAGAGGGAATGATCTAGATTCTGGGGCAAAGGTTAGCAAAGTTTCTCTGTAAATTTTCAGATAAGAAATACTTTAGTCTTTATGGGTCACACAGTCTCTGTCACAATGGCTTAACCCTGTCACTGTTCTATGATGACAACCATGGCTGAAATAAACAAATCAAAGTTGCTATGTTCCAATAAAACTTTATTTGCAAAAACAGGCCTTAGTTTCTCCACCTCGGTTCTTAAGTGCTGCTGATACATCATCATAAGCATTTCTTGTTAATGCATTTCATAGTGCTATGAATTCTGTCACTTTGAGGACTAAGGTGGGCCTGACTCAAGTGATGGTATTTCAGGAGGTCAGGAAAAGAATAGAGGCATTCAAATTGTGAATGTTGTAGGTGAAGGTTACTGACTACCAGGAGAAGGAACAACTCTGTCTCAGAAGAAGTATAGGCAGGATTGCTCCTTAGAAATGAGGCTTTGGGGCATCTTGTCACATGGGAGCAGTCTCTGGAGAAGGACATCATGCTTGGTAAAGTAGAGGGTCATCCAAGAAGAGGAAGGCCCTCAAGGAGATGGATTGACACAGTGGCCGAAACAATGGGCTCAAACATAACAACTGTGAGGCTGGTGCAGGATGGGTAGGGTAGTCTTTCGTTCTGTTGTACACAGGGTTGCTGTGAGTCAGAAACTACTCTATGGCACTTAACAACAACAATGTTAAGGACTTTTCCTTAGGTATCTTTTTGAAAATAAAAATTATTTTAGAAAAAATAAACCACAAAATTATGACCCAAACCAGAATTAATTTACTTGACAGGAAGCAGAGTCTAAGTTTGATATTAAATAACTTAGAAATGTGCAAAAAAATTAGAAATGCAGAATCATTGTGGTGTATATGATCATAAAATATGATCTCAACTAGTTAAGGATGTGTAATATTTGCATGATATAATATAAACATATAGCTATCAACACCTTTCCTTAATCTTTAGGTCTCAAAGTAAGTGGCTGGAAAAGAACACATTTTTGTTTGCTTTTTATTTATTTTGCTTGTTTTTTAAAGATGATAAAGATGCTATAAACATGCTATTTTGTTGCATTTTGAGGACTGGGTGATGGCGACGAGGACATGGTGATGTCCTCTCTGTGTCTGCCCTGACTCCTGGCAAAGTAATAGCTCACGTCAGACCTTCAGTTGGTTGTTTCTTACTGCGGCCAAGCAGTTTAAACTATGAACTTTTGGAGACATGTCTGTGTGTGTGAGCGAATGCCAGAGAAAAGGGAGAGCCCCAGCATGAGAAGGCAATAACCTCGGGGCTGCTGTCTGGGGTAAGGATCGTTGAAGTTCCCTGGAATCTCGCCAGAGAGTCTTGTCAATGAAAAGCTGAGCCACCACGTTTCTGTGGCCATCGTAGTCTGTTAGCATCATCCTTTCCACGGGAGCATGATGAAGTGCTGGAGCAAACTGCTTCTGACCACAATCGGGACATTTCACAGACTCAAACGGAGCCTGATAAACACGTAGGCCATTAGCAACCACGTCTGTGACAACATGCATCTCCCCAGCTGAACAAGAAAAGACATCTTCCAGTGTCATTGAAATGCAAAATCGCTGTTGAATAGTGTCATGCAAAGCACTAGTCCTTCTATTACTGATCTCCAGAGCCCTTCAAGTACACTGTGTCCAACCAAAATGCCATCAAAAGTAAAGTACTACCGGCCTCATGTCTTAGCTGATCAGCAACCAAGAAAATATACAACCTCCTCAGGTGCTCACCAAACAGCAACCCAGTCTTTTTTCTTGACTGTGATGCCACTCGTAATTTCCTCTAGTTGTCTTTTCTCTGCATATACTAACGCATTAAACATGTATCATGAAAACCAAAAATAGACTCTCAGGACTAAGTGGCAAACCGCCAGCACTGAAATAGCTCTGGAGCCAAGAGGAAACTGGCACTGGCCCCCGCGTGCTGGCAGTGGTGTGGCTTTTTGAGTGCATGCCTGGGAGCAGGGGCGTCAATAGACATACCCGGAGAGGTGTGAGGCACTGTGAGCAGGGGCCTGCCTACGAGCCATTTGTCCACCAGGAGGGAAGTATTTCACTATTTTTACAACTGGAAATCGGCATACCAGCACACCCCTAGCTTAACGCCAGTCCTGTCTTACACCTGGCTTTAAAATGGATCCTTTCACCGAGGGCTTAATTTTACACTGCAAACATGTTCCTAGAGAATTCTGCTAAAACCTTTTTTCCTTCTTAATCCAAACTATTACACAGTGTCCTTTTAAAAGTCGGTTTTGCTACTATCTTAAAAGGTTTATTTTGAAGTGTAATTTTCATGAAATGCGCTAAACACCACAATAAACTAATCCATTCCCATCTGGCTGAGATTCTGGATGTTTGGCTTCATCTTGCTCAGGGAAACAGAGCAGGTTCCCAGAACAATATGTTGCTAGGAAACCTTCAAGCTTATTGATCTTGTGCTGTGGGGTGACGTTGTGCATCCACCTGATTGGCACAAAGTGAAGGAGGGAAATGAAGGAGAAGGGGATGGAAGACCGAGAAGAGCTGATATGAAACTCCTATTATTTCTGAGATAATCAAAGAAAACACATCGTTACAGTTCTCAAATCTAAAGTTCAAGGCAAAATTGATTATATTTTAAGGACTGGAATATACTGAAGCTACAGTGATCAGATAAAGAGATAAAGGACTTAAGTTATGGGTAGGGATAGACTATAGGTATTATGCAAGGTAACTCTTTAATCTGTAAATTTTTTATTTGATGGAAACCCAGGAAATGCCCTTAAGAAATCACACCCACGAGGCGCTATCCGGGTCATTTGGCAAAGTGTACTTTGGTGGTGAGTAGTAGATATGGTCTTAAAAGCTTTCGAGTGGCCGCCTAAGATACAAGTGCTGGTCTGGCTCATCTGGAGCAAAAGGAACAGAAGAAAAGCAGACTGCAGGAGGCCACGTGTCCCTGGAGCTAACAGGTCCACCACAGCTAACGCTAGCCAGAGACTGAACTAGATCGAGCCAGGCTACCACACCGACTACTCTGACTGGGGACACAGAGAAGGTCTCTGTTAAATGAGAAAGAATATAAGAGGGCAAAACTCAAATTCAAAAAGAAGGAACAGACTTACTGGTTTGATCGAGATGGGAGAAACCATCCAAGACTACCACCCTAAGACACCCTTTAAACTTAGAACTAAAGCCTCTTTGGGGGTCACCTCTCACCCAAATAACAGAATGACCTATAAAATAAAAACAAACCATGAAAAATGTACTGCTTAGCATCAACTGTGCGAGCTCAAAGGGGCAGCATTTGCTCAAACTCACCAAGGAGATGGCAAAGAGGGCAGAGAAACCGGAGGAGTGGCAGTGGGGAAGGCAGGATGGCAATGGGGGAGTGAGGACACACAGCAAGGACCACAGCCAAGGCCACAGAGCAATCTCTGTAGGATTTGTTGAATGGGAAATGAATTTGCTGTGTAAGTTTCCACCCAAAATACAAGAAAATGTTTTTAAAGAAATCAAAATAGGATGAACAATCCGGAGAAGAAAACAATGGGACTGACAGTTCCAGGGGGACATGGGAAAGGGGGAGGTGGGGGGTAAGGAAGTGGTGTTAACAAACCCAGGGACAAGAGAACAACAAGTGATCTAAATTGGTGGTGAGGTGGGTGTGGGAGGCCTGGTAGATCATAATCAAGGGTAATGTAACAAAGAGGAACTGCTGAAACCCTGGTGGGGACTGAGCACGATAGTGGGACAGGAGGAAAGTCAAGGGAAATAGAGGAAAGAGCTGGGAGATAAAGGGCATTTATAGAGGTCTAGAAAAAGAAATGGATCTATGTGCATATATTTATAGGTTTAGTATTAAGGTAGCAGAAGGACATTGGGCCTCTACTCAAGTACTCCCTCAATGCAAGAA